GGACTCAGCGCCGCTCTCCATAGGTTCGTGCATTCTCTCTGAGCGAACCAATGAGCCGCTAGCTAGCCCGCTCATGGTCTGCCTCAGAAGAGACTGCGTTGACAATGATTACAAAATTATGGAATAATTTTTTGGCTTCAACTTCTCAGCAAAGATGAATCTTTCCCGTAGCGTAAGCTAGCTTACGCAATACGAGAGAACCTCTCGTAAGAGAACCGTCTTTCCATTCACCGTGTTTCTGAAAATGAGTGTTTTGCCGTGAAATTGATGCAGCAATGCATTACAGGCGTAGGCTACGTGGTTACAAAATTGCAGTGTCTTACCCTGGATAATAAGATATAGTTGAGCTGCCTGTGCTGTGTAGGCCTACAATGATTTGAATTGTAACAGCCATGTAACGTTAACGTTAGGCTACATATAGCCACGATGTGCGTGATTTTCAGCTATAGGCTATTTTTGCATTCTCAGACATTAGCTGTTATCTTAAATGACATGTTTTCTCTTTAATGTCAGGTCACAATGTTAATAAAAGTGCAATTTGGAGGGAAGAAGAAGTATTTAAAATTGGACGAAGTATGTTTTACATATTTTCTCAGTGCAGGTGAGTTGTATGTTTAGAATTCAGTTAACGTTAATAAACAGTAAGTAACAGTAATTTTGTCATTTCTAACGTTGTTTATATTATGGTGTAGTCCAGCAGAAGTTTCTGATACCTGAGAATAAGGAATTGAAAGTCACAGATGACCAGGGCATAGAGGTGGATGAGGATGCCTTTCCAGATCTTGCAACAACCAAAGAAATGTGTTTTTTCATCCACACTAATGATGGTAGGACATTTTAGTACATTTGTTTTGTTTTATAGATATTTTGAGAGTTTGTATCTTGACTCAGAAACAAAAGTGCATTTCAGAAATTCCATTTCCTGAAAAATCCAAGAACTCTACTGACTTATCAGACCTGACAGAGTTTGGTGCCATCTCAAATCTGACAGAATATGTTACTCTCACTACTTGTGGTAAGTTATATGCAATTTGATCGTTTTGTCTGACCCTGGGCATATCCATCTTGGTGCTAGATTGCTAGATTATATATGCCTCATACTGTTGTTTTTGTGATCTTCAGATATGACTGTACTTCAGCAAGCGGTTGAAGGTTACTCCTCCCCAAGTCCGTCAGATACATTGTCTATCTCAAGCAGTAGTGATTCTGCATCTCAAATGACTCCACCTTTAATGGACAGTGTCCATGCAAGAAATGTATGTGTATGTGTGTGTGTATATATATATATATATATATATATATTTTTTTTTTTTTTTTTTACTTGCAAACACATATATTTTTATTAGATTAAGATTGCATGTCAGATTAGAATGTCAAGCAAATTCTTACTTCAAAGCCAGCGGGAATGTCTGTGATTGAAGAGTATCAAGAGACTGGGAGCTTGAAAGATTCCACAAGGCGGTTAATGGTGAACATTATTGTTGCTCACATGCATGAAAAAGAAGGGTAAGAAGAAGCTTAAAGAAGGCATGACTATCCTTTTTTTAAATTAGAACCTAAATACAAATATGTTTTCACCTTTGTAGGAGAGCTATTAGTAAAGCAACGAAGGAGTTCCATGCCCTTGGGATTGTGTCACTGTTCCCATCTTTGAAAGACCCATACTCTAAAAAAGGATATGTAAGTCTTTTTACATCTTATATGCTTTTGAGCCACTGCAATTGTATTATTTTGTCCAACATAACGTATTGCTTCCCCCCAGGAACATTTCTTTGACATTCAGAGCAACAAAGGCTTTCTTGAATGGCGTATAAAGACTGTGCAACGTAAATCCAGAATCGTCTCTACATCACAGAACAGAGTGGAACCAAAAGGAGGTCCCACATCATCAAGAACAACTGGAACCATAGATGACCAGCGAATGGGAGATGAATGTATGGAAGCCATTTCTCTCCTCCACCACACAACTGACCGTGACTTGGTGTTCCAGAAGATGAGAGAAACATTCCACTACCGTCAGCAGATTATCCACGACTCGCAGCACTCTGCTGATGTACTACAAATGTTTCCTCGTTTCTTGGACGTCAAAGGACTGGTAAGTATTAAATAAGAATGCAAAATTCTTTGCTGATGTGTGGTGGGCATTCTGGCGCAATATGGCTGCCGTCGCACCATCCAGGTGGATGCTGCACACTAGTGGTGGTTGAGGAGATTCCCCCATGTAAAGCGCTTTGAGTGCCAAGAAAATGAATTATTATTATTAATTAAAATTTTATTACAAATATTATGTTAAATTAGTTGTCTGATTGGTTATCTTTCCTTTTTAATTAGATTTTGAAAGACTTCTCACAGATGTTTGGACCAGAGGTTGCTTCCAGGTTCCTGGAAAAATGGAACACCAGTTTTAAAGAAAAAGTCATTCAGGAGGCCAGGGACCTTAAAGAGACTGCTCTCCTAAAACAGCACCTGAAAGCTGCACTGAATGAAGAATCTGACACTACTGATGATCCAGGTACAGTCATCATCAAAATAGTAATGTTGGTACTTGAGTCAATAAATCTTCTGGATAAAAGTTTTTTTTTTTAATTATTTCCCAGAAGCATTTCCCCGAAAAGTCTTAACTCACAGTTAATTCTTAATTAAGTTATTACAAAAGCTCATCAATAAATTCATGCTTTTCATAACTATTTACATTTTTAAAAATCATGCTGTTTGTAAGAAAATTGTAATAACTACCTAACAAATAGTTTGTAATTAAGATATTATGATACACAATACACAGTGGTAATTTAATTTATGGTAATGCCATAAACAGACTGGTTTGAACTACTGTTATTTTCTGTCTCCAGAAGGGACAGCGACATGGCTTCTCTACTTGTCCTGCTGCATCTTCTCACTCCACAACCAGCTGGAAGAAAGCGGCCCAAGAAGATCAGTGTTGGAGAGGCAACAGATCATCTGGTGAAATTTGTGAAGGTTTGTTAAGACAACACTATCCTATTCCAAATAATGCCTATTTGAAACAAATTGTTTAAAAAGGTACATTTATGTTGTGTTTCAGTCATGCCAAAGCCTCGAGTATCATCTCCTGGCCATTGAAGGAAACCCTCAGCCTTATCTTCTTGCTTCAGGGACTTCAAAAGCACAGGTTTCCACCTTTTACATTGTCTTGGACAAAAACTTCTGCCTTGTCAGTCATGTACATCCTTGGGTGCTTTTGACGAGCTGTTCAAGTGCCATTTTGTTTTCAGTGTGAAGTATGATGATGCTCTGTCCAGCCCGTACACATTTTTGCAGACTACTGTGTACAATATTGATATCGGTACAACTGAAGAAACTCCAAAAGTCAAAGAGCTGAGAGCAAAGCTGTTGAACAAGCAGTAATTGTCTTATTCAAACAAAATGTTAAGTTGTTTCCTCTGCACATCATCCTTTGGTTCAGCTTTGCTTTTATTCAGGCACCTCAAACTAATTCATGGAATGTACCCTGGCAAAAATCTAAGACTAAAATGTGCTCAAGCAGGTTGTTGCTTGCAATTCTCTAGTTATTCTGGATTTAGGATTGTTCCTTACGAGACCCCTTCCACTTATGAAAATGAAAAAGACAATTCTCATTCCTTAAACGACGAAATACCCTCTACTTCATCTCAGTGCCAAAATGTTGAATCAGGCCCTTCAGTATCCACTCATAAGAAAGACATGTGTGCATCCATAATAGCAAAGCTTTTGGGTAGTGGTGTACCAAATACTGTAGTTCTTTCCACAATTGAGAATTTGGAGGAATTTGTGGAAGATCTGCAGTCTAATATTAAGGACCATGTTTTGAACTTAGTCACAGATAACAATCCATCCAGACCAGCCATAGAAGAGTTATTTAAACGTTTGGAGAACCCTTTCAGCCAACTGAACACTGATACCAAATGGAAGAAGTATTTCAGAGACAAATGGGGAGTAGTAGAGCCAGTTGAACTGCGCTTTGGTGTAAGGTATGAAACTAAACGAAATAACAAAACTGGAACTTATGAACAAGTTCCTGTTAATGATAAATTCATTTATATTCCAATTTTGAAAACACTCCAGTTCATTTTCAGAAACGAAAACATTTGTGAGATGATGCAAACATGTACTCACATGACATATATGAAGATTTCTGTGACGGTAGCTACTTTAAAAATCATCCATTATTTTCGACTAATAAATTTGCTCTCCAAATTCAATTATACTTTGATGAGTTTGAATGTGCAAATCCTCTTGGCTCCAAAAAAGGTATTCATAAAGTTGGTTGCCTTTACTTTATTCTCAGAAATCTTGCTCCAAAGGTGAATTCTGCCCTCATGAACATCCATTTGGTATCTTTGTTTCATGCCCAAGATGTTAAAACATATGGGATTGATGAAATGCTGAAACCATTAATAAGGGACTTGAAAATATTAGAAACTGTTGGGGTTGCTGTTCCATTTGCTGAACAACCTGTACATGGCACACTTGCTCAAATTACTGGCGATATCTTGGGTATGCATAGCATTCTTGGGTTCTTGGAATCATTTAATGCAAATTATTTCTGTCGATTTTGCTTGAGTGATAAATCTTCAGCTCAGTCCGTTTTCTCAGAGGATGACCCAAGTTTGACTTTAAGATCACCAGCACTGAATGATCAGCATTATGCCAGTTTGGTAGATGATCCAACACTAACCTCTTCTTTTGGCATCAAGAGGAACAGCATCCTCAATACTTTGCAGTATTTCAATACAGGGGAAAACTATGCTGTTGACATCATGCATGATATTTTGGAAGGGGTTGGCCAATATGAGATCAAACTACTTTTTGAATATCTAACTGAACATTTCATCTCTAAAGAAAGCTTGTTAAACAGGATGTATGCTTTTAATTATGGCTATCTGGAAACCAAAAACAAGCCAACAAATATTAATCTTGACTGTGGAGGACATGGATTAGGCCTGAATGCATCACAAGCATTGTGTTTAGTCACAAACATACCTTTGATATTTGGTGACCTGGTACCAGAGGATGATTTGCACTGGCGCTTGTTGCTCTTATTGTTGAACATCATAAACATGCTTCCAAAACATCATTTCATGGTCCACTACCCAAGGTGCATTAGAAAGATAGGACCACTCATTCATATCTGGACCATGAGATTCGAAGCGAAACACAAATTTTTTAAAGATTCTGTGAAGAACTTCAAAAATTTGACTGTATCGCTTGCAAATAAACACCAGTTTGCAGTAGCATATCATTGAGAATGCTTGTCTTTAAAAGCAGTCGAGTCTGGTCCAGTTAAATTGTGTTCACTTGAGACGCTTGAATTTTCAGAACATTTAACTGCATCTCTCCATGTTGATTCACAAGCCACTGTCAATCTCACTAAAGGCCAATTTATACTTCTGCGTAGGGTGCGCGCAGTAGGTACGGCGTAGCATACGCACAGACGCGTCCCATACCGCGTACCATTCCGCGTTGCCTGACGCGCACCTCTTCAAAAATGTAACTACACGTCGCGACGACGCGGACCGCAAGATCGGTGATTGGTCGGCTTGGTAGCATCGTATTTCCTCATACGCATTTCCGCACGTACCTTCTCAATGCATTTCCACACGTACCATCTCCTCCGACGTCTTCTCTCATTTCTGCCTTTCAGTTTTAGTAATTTCACTAAAATGAACTGTTTTTCCACCCCAATAAGCTCCAACTCCAACATGATCCACTCTCTTTCAGTCGCTATTGCTTGTAGTAACCTAGCCGCGAGGAATCTAAACACAGTGGAACATTAAAACCCTCCGCCGCCTCCTAGCGTTTCGGAGCAGTACTGCAGAGCAACCAAGACCTGAACGCAGAAGTATAAATGCTCACAACGGCGTCGCCTACGTGCGAAGCCAACGCCGTACACTACGGCGTACCCTCGACGCAGAAGTATAAATTGGCCTTAAGTGGGTAAAATGTTGTGGTGTTGAGTATCGTGTTGGACTTTTTGTTTGCACAGGTAGTGATGAAAACATGCAACTTTTCAGCAAAATAACCTCAATCATTTTACACAATGGTAAAGTGTTTTTTGTTTTGATTGAGCATGAAACATGTTTCCATGATCACTTCCATGCTTTTCAAGTGACTGAAACCCTACCAAGGAAGATACTGGTTATAGAAAGGGAAAGATTAAGATATTTCAAGTCTTTTGATGCACAAATGTCATACGGATGTGATTCACAATTTTATGTTGTATCAGAAAGTTGCATTATCTGATTTCTTATTTAAATGAGTTTACTGTGAAGTTATTGTTACATCTGATGGATCTACCTCAGGTTACACAATCCTACTGCACTACTGTTTTTTTTTTTTTTTTTTAAATAATCCATCAGGCTTGATTTTATATAATCTTGAATGAATGTGTTGTTGACAATGTTTTATAAAATTGTACAAATTCACTTAGTTAGCTGCATGTATTAAATTTTAATGTTTTGCTGTTAGGTTTTACAGTATTTTATAACAGCAATGGGTTCTATGCACGGCGTTATTTCCGGTGAAGGATTAAGGATGCTCGATAACTTCCGCCGATCATAGAGTCCAATGCAATACCGAGAATTTATATTGAATTTTATACTCCATGGTTATACTAAAGAAACGTTAGTCACAAAAACAGATAAAACAGACACCCCTCGTTGTGTTTATGCTTCTTTTTAAAATTATATTAAATAAACATAACTATATATAAAATTACATCTAAACGTATGTACGTTTCGTTTCAAAGACGGGAGGACAGTAAATATTGAAGACTCTGCCATAATCCCGTTTTCTCCGGTTTTCCTCCGCTTTAATCTCCACAACCGGAAATGGACGAGCATCCTTACGTCAAATGCGGAACTAATGCGTGCATATAGCCCATTGTTTTCAAAGTCTGTCCATGCATTGAATTTCTGAACCTTGCTCAATTAAAGGCAGTAAATCAAAAGTATGGTGTTCAGTGTGTTCATTTCCACATAAAACATTATATTGTGTTAAATAAATGTTAATTCTAATGGTGTGTTCACACCGAACGCGAATTGTATTACTTGCGCGAGTAGATTACAAAGTCAATGCAAAGACGCGAATAGACGCATCATTCGCGCCGGGCGTTGCGAATGACGCGAATTGGGCGACGCGTTTGCCGCGAATGTCTTCCGCGCAAGTTGAAAAATTGAGCGAATGTTCAAGCGTCTATAGACGCGTATTTGACGCTCTATTCGCGTTCGGTGTGAACACACCAAACGTCTTGTTTGACGCTTGAACATTCGCTCGAGTTCAAATTTTTCAATTTGCGCGGAAAACATTCGCGGCAAACGCGTCGCCCAATTCGCGTCATTCGCAACGCGCGGCGCGAATGATGCGTCTATTCGCGTCTTTGCATTGACTTTGTATGTTACATTTTAACTCTGAAAAAAGTGTTAAATTAAACTCCAAGAGCGGAGTTATTTTAACTCTGCTCTGGAGCCTATCTGATGGTCTCACATGTACACTCAGATTGAGTTGATTTGAACTAACAGGGAGTTTATTCCAAAAAACAGAATTTGCTGTGAGCAGTATTTTTTTTCTGTCAGCCTTTAGCTAGTGTTACATGCTCTTCTTACTACAAATGGTTTTAAACCATCTAAGTGCGACAAAACAGAAGAGAACGCGCTGTCTGTCTGGATCTAACACCACGCAGAGACAGATGCGCACCACCTTGTTGCGCACCGCGCACCAGTAATTGCAGTCGACAACGGCAGGTCTTAAAGGCATAGCACCCAATTTAGTTGTCTGTCACTCAGGGTCAAACAAAGAACAAATGGAACAGATCAAATTACTCACTGTTTTTAACTAAATAACTTTTGTAGCTTTAATACGGAGTAATGTACATTTAATTGATAAATTATGCAGTGCAGAGTGTTTATTCAATTTCTTTGTTCAAATTCTGTATATTTTCTGTTAGACAGGTAGGGTTGTGGTGGTGGTGGGTGGGGGTCATATTTCTCAAGACATCAGTAGCTGTATTAGTATCAGTGATACTGGCCTTCATTCATAAAAAGTAACTTAACAGTAACTACATTAATCTGGAGATTAAATGTGAAACAATTAAATTATAAAATATATTATTCTGTTTTATTTATTCTGATTTCT